CTCTCTCTCTCTCTCTCTGGTTGCAGATCATTAAAGAATACAATAGGTTCTCCAATCAGAATCTATCTGGGGGAAACAGACAGTCATGGACAACTCCACATAATACAGTATGGCATTACAGCTCAAATTACATGTATTGACCGGTGTTTGGAAATAGATGGCTTTCCAGTAGGATACCATCTGTCATCCCAGTCAACAAACAATTGCTTTAACCCAACTGGGAGAGTCTTGGTCCCTTTTTGACACAGGTTGTCAAATAAACATCCCTGTACTGAACCGACATACAGAGAAAATGGCAATAAACTCTAGCACATTTTTTTTTTTAGGTGTAAAGAACTCTAAATACTGCCTGGAAATAACTGAAGTAATGTTACAAAACTTCCTAATGGTCTTGGCTTGATTTGTTCTCTAACCAAGTGTGTAAAATGATTTATTGTACCCTGTGGCCATAAGATATGAAGACAGTCAGTATATAGGCTACATAGGTCCTTTCAACCATGCTAAGCCCTCCCGCATGGAACCAAAGCACCTTCTGGACTTTGCACATTGCACATTTCGTCCAAGATGTAATTCATTTGCAGAGTGGATTTGCTGGGCCTAATCCCACTGAACTGGACTCAATGACAGTTTGTTTGTGCAACTCAGAGATTGCATATGCACCTGGTCTTTTATGAGGGCAAGCCAATTCATTTGGCTTTTAGGTATTTGTCATGAAGCTCATCATCTACACACAAACAAAAACCTCAGTGAAACACGTGAAGCAAATGTTCCCAGTGGTGAGGTTAAAATAACAATACATTAGCTGAGTACAATGCACTTCATTCACATCTAAGAGGAAGCCACGAGAAAGTTATTTGTTTACACTGACCAGGTTAATAATGCATGCTCAGCTTACAAGTGTACATTTTTTATTCAATAAGTGTGTAAAATTTGATGTACGGAAATGTTAATTTTTGTGCACTACATGTGCTTTTATGTCAGAAGTTTAGGATCCAAATCATTCAATGAGTAATACTGACAGTGCTCCTCAAAGCTCCTCAATCAGCAGTTAAACAC